CCCCCACCCCTCCCAAAACACAAACGTAAACCTATGGCTACTTAGTTTACTTACTGGAGCATAGTTTTGTCCTTGTTCTCTGTCAAAAACTGTTACCACTCCTGTGTACATGCTCAGTGGTAGGACTCACTGAGTGTGTTTAGTAAGGTTTAATTAGTAAATTAAAATGTTTAACTGCAATAAATGTTTTCTTTATTATTATTTTACAGATTACTGTGCAAGTAAATTTGCAGCAGTTGGTTTTGCAGAGTCAGTTGATTTAGAGATGAGAGATCTGGGAAAGACTGGTGTTAAAACCACAATTGTATGTCCTTATGTCATAAACACAGGAATGTTTGATGGCTGTAGAACCAAGTGAGTAAATTCTTGTGAAATTTTTGTGACTTGCACATTTAGCATGTATGTACTCCTATTTCCTTTATGAAAATCATGAGCTAGGTTTTGTTCTGCTTCTGTTATTTTTAGGGCCTCAGATGGGTGTTAACAGTGCTGTCCCAATGACTGGGCAACACAAATAGAATCATAGAATGGTTGGGGCTGGAAGGGACCTTAAAGATCATCTAGTTCCAACCCCCCTGCCATCAGCAGGGACACCTTCCACTAGACCAGGTTGTTCAAAGCCTCATCCAGCCTGGCCTTAAACACTTCCAGGGACGGGGCATCCACAACTTCTCTGGGCAACCTGTTCCAGTGTCCGACCACCCTCACAGGAAAGAATTTCTTCCTAATATCTAATCTAAACCTCCCCTCTTTCAGCCTAAAGCCATTTCCCCTTGTTCTTTCACTACCTGCCCTTCTAAAAGTCCCTCCCCAGCTTTCTTGTAGTCCCCTTCAGGTATTGGAGGGCCGCTATAAGATCTCCCCAGAACCTTCTCTTTTCCGGGCTGAACAGCCCCAGCTTTCTCAGCCTGTCCTCATAGGAGAGGTGCTCCAGCCCTCAAATGGCAAAGCCATCGGTACTTTACTATTCATTTAAGCTGAAATGTGAAATGTTATTGGTGTCCTTTCCTCTGCAGAAGCCAAATGCTTCAGTTGTCCTCTCTGGGGATCTTATCCCTGTCTATAAATACCTGAAGTGTGGGGGCCAAATGGATGGGACCAGGCTTTTTTTCGTAGTACCCAGTGACAGGACAAGGGGCAATGAGCAAAAACTGGAACGCCAGAAGTTCCACACAAACCTGAGGAAAAACTTCTTTACTGTGAGGGTGACGGAGCACTGGAACAGGCTGCCCAGAGAGGTTGTGGAGTGTCTATCTCTGGAGGGGCCTGGACGCTTTCCTGTGCAACCTGTTGTAGGGAACCTGCTTTGGCAGGGGAGTTGGACTAGATGATCTCCTGAGGTCCCTTCCAACCCCTACCATTCTGTGTTTCTAAACCTCCATTCACCTCCTAAAGTCAGTAACATAGCTTTGCTCAGTATGCTTGTATAATGACAAAATTTAGGAGTCAAATAGAAGCCCAGTGTCACTCAATATGAGGACTGTGTGGATTTGTCTTATGGGAGATCATGGTAAAATAAAAATGACCACTCACTCTCTAGCATAATGAACGTTCTGTTGCTCATAGGATTTGTGGTATTTATTTCTTTTAGTTGAATAACTGCAAAATGGAGACTTATTCTGAGTAAAATGTGAATCCGAAGCAATTTGTATTACAGTAAGAAACATCTTCTCTTCCAGGTGGCCAAGACTGCTTCCTGTTCTGGAGCCAGAGTATGTGGCTGAGAAGATAATGACCGCTATTCGGCGGGACCAAGAAATATTGCTGCTACCGCGGGTTCTTTATTTTATATTTGCTTTGAAAAAGTAAGTTAGGCCTTTCCTTCTTTTGCTCTCACTCTTTTCTGTCCAGGGATGTTTCAGCTATGTTTTTGATTAAAAGTGCAAACTAGACTTCTTTCTACTTGTTGGTGTGAATTTTCATTAACTTACGAACACTTCTAGAGTTTTCTTTGTTTTGATTCTGGGAGGTCAGTCTACCTTTGGACCACAGGACAATGACAGAAATGTCTAACTGTGACTTGCTGACTCCATTGGGGTGCAGTTTTACTGTGGCCTTCTCCTCAGTGATTGTGTATCTGGGGTCTTGCCCCAGCATTAGGGCACTTCTGACTCTGTTGCAAGTCAAGTTGGGAAATTGGTCTGTCTAATAACTCAGGCTGCCAAATGAGTGTAATGGATATTTTGAGAGGACCAGTGGTACTATATTCTAGAGAGTATCGTGTCTTTGCCAGTATTAGCCAGGTAAAATTAATTCTGTGATAAAACTACACAACTCTTCTGACATCTGCTTTGTTTTTTTTATCTTCTTCAACTCCCCTACCTTACAGTATCATACCAGTGAAAACAGCTGTTCTCTTTGCGGACTATTTTGGAAACTTCCGTTTGATGGATCGCTTCAAAGGTCGAGCAAAAGATGAGTGAAAAAGCGCAAAATGCAGAGACCAGCAACTCTAAAATGGACCTTGTTAAAGGTGGTGGTAGGGAAGGTCTGCTCCGCTGGCAGCTGTGGACTGAAGGTGCCTCACTTCTCATTAGTAACAATTTTTAAGGAAATAGCTTTTTAATTGGTTTTTAATCAACAGCTTTCACTAAAATTCTTTTTTTCCATCCAGTTGAACTGTTTGCTTTTCATCTCATTATGGAAATACATTAATTGAAATTAGATCCTTTGGTTAAGTCTTAATGCCTTAATATAATCCCGCATCATAAACTAATAACTGGCAACTTTTGGAGGAGAAGAGACCAAGAAACCACATGTATTTGGCAGGGAGCCAGGAAAGCCTCTAGTGGATCTGACTTCGTGCTGCCATTCACTGAACCATGAGGATGGGCTGTACTGCTGGTGCCATTACCATTCGCTGGTAAACTGAGGAATTCAAGAGTTTCCTGAAACAACAGATTTGAATTTATACAAATTGAAGCTTTATGAAATGAAAATATGTGCAGTGTTGTTGCAAAACCAATAAAATATATTAATTGTTGGAGGTGGTGATCTTGGGACTCACAGATGACTATGGATGTCAGGGTGGGGAGTTGGAAGGATGTAAATTATGTACTTGTGCTGCTAATCTACTTTTTGTCTAATTTATTTTAAAAGCTAATGCTATGACTGCAACTTTGTAGTAGAAGTCTTTGTATCTTCTAAGTGCAATATTTTAAGAACAAATTTAAATTTTCATTTCCTAAGCAGAATAAACTTGTGGTTACAAAGCATAAGACTACCAGTCTATGTGGGCTATCAAACATCTTGCTGAGTAAGACAAGGAGTTACTAAAAGCAAAGGTATTGGGTTGTATAATCTGTATTTCTTTTGGGGTTATTTTGGAAAGGAGTGGTGCTGATAGAACTGGAATGAATGGGATCATTACAGCCATAGCTTGAGTAACAGCACTATGTTTTGCTTCTCTGAATTGGGCGGCAAGTTACCTTGTGTCTACAGAGACTTGTTTTACTTTCCCTTTACTCTTAGGACTGTCCATATATTTTGGGCATATGCTGAGGAGGTCTTGCCCTTTGACAGTGACCACTTAGAAAACTGAAAGCCCCCTTGACTTTTGGTAAATCCAAAAAAAGAAAAAAGCATACCTTAAATGTATGCCATGTATGCACATGCTGGCTAAGTCCCATCTTGTGTCATAGTACTCTGCTGGTAACTGGTAACACCTACAAACTAAGCCTAAACTGTATTAGCATGCAGTTAATTAAAGAACAGCATGGAGAAAAGGGTGATTTTTTTTTTTTTTTCTGTTTTCCCAGGATGGTGTAGAAACTACCTTCATTTCCCATGTCTATACAATTATTGAGGTTTACCAGCAGAGGAAAGTTTACATAGAACTACTTTACTACTGATGAGCAAGAAATGCTGATTAAAACAAGTGTGTTTGAAATGGCTTTACCTTTTTGATGCATCTATGAGAGTTAGAATTCAGACTGATGACAAAAAGATTTGTCTTACTGTTTTTTTCAAATCTGCAGCTTTTCTACCTCAGAAATTCTGCTCATTTTAAAGTAGACTTCAGGAAATTGGAGTTACTAATTAGAAAACAGATATTACTCTAAATGTGCTGTCCATATGTATATTGCACTGTTCACTGGTAATAAAGTAAGTCACTGATAACTGTGTGGTGTGTCTGTGTCTTGCAGACTCCTCACATTTTTATGCTATTTTTTCTTAAAGAGCACACTTCTCTTCCTAACTGAAATACTAGGTGTGGAGGGTTGTGGAGCAAAGGAGGAGAGAAGTGCATTATACATATGAACAGTATGTAGCAAATTCCAGCTCTTGAGAGAGCAAGTAGCTCTTCATTCTTAGTGTCTCTGTTGAGGGAAATTGAAAGTAATCAGTCTGACTGTGGGATCTGTAGATTCTCAGCAGGTTCAGGTTTGTCACAGTACCAGGAAGATCTTACCTGATAATCTGTCCTGGAGAAGTACATCTCCACAGGGATTTTACTCCTTTACTGAATCACTGAGCGTGGAAAGGACCTCTACTCAGAGCAAGGTCAATTACAGCAGGTTTCTTAGTACTGTGTCCAGTCAAGTTTTGAATATCTCTAAGGCTGGAGACTCTACAGCCTCTCTGGGCAACCTGTTCCATTCCAATTTGTGCCTATTGCCTCTTTTCCTTTTAGTGGGTACCACTAAGAGCCTGGCTTACACACTTGCATACATTGAGCCTGAGCCTTTTCTTCTCTAGACTGAGCAGTCCCAACTCTCTCAATTTCTTGTATGACAGGTGCCCCAATACCTTCATTGTCTTTGTGGCCTTTCACTGAACTCACTCCAGTATGTTCATATCTGTAAAAGAGTAGGTGTGACTTTTGGAGACCAAGTTCTGTAATAGGTTGAGCGTGCATGATATGTCATAGAGAGCTTCACTAGAAAATCTCTGCTAGCCAGCTGTCCCAGTAGGAGTACCCAAATATTGCCTTCATGAAACCGTGCTGCTGCTGCTTTGAATATTATGGTCACTGTCAAACTACTTTTTGTGACTGGAGGATAGTAGCCTATCCTGTTGGTTGTTTTGATCTCCTGCATCTCCTGAGGTGGCATGACAGATATGAAGAGTTGTATCCTGGAGGTCAAGCAGCAGAAGGCCTTCTCCTGTGTACTGGAGGTGGTATGGGGTGAGTGTTGGATCTTCAAGTGACATATGAACTTCTTGAAATAAAAGATGGCTCACTTCCAGCATAACAACCATCTTGATTGATTACTGATGCCAAGAAGGACTCTTTTCTTCCAACTCTCAGCAGAAAAAAACAGAAGGATCACTGCAAGACCCAAAGAAGAAGATAGAACATGACATGGAAGAGCATCTCAGTTGTGACAGTATCATGTCTGACAGCAGCAGGGGACTGCTTTCTGAAGTATATCAGGCAGCTTCTACAAAGGAATTCTCAGTTTCATGACCGTTGCTTGCAACAAAGTATCCTCTAGCAAAATTACTGGGTCCCAAATTTGACTGGGATGGGTACATTGGCTTGACAGTCACCCATACCAGTCACCAGTGATTCAAAGACAGGTCAGAACATGGTATTTTGTTGCCTGTTAGGTTTCTTTTCCATGTGAGTTCATATTCCTGTGGTAGCAAAAATCTTACTATCCTCTAATGCTTTAGAGAATATAATTTTTCTTGGCACTAACTAGATTTGCTGAACAATACTGAGGAGGAAACAACAACAACAAAATACCAACTGAGATACAGGCTCTATTATTACTTATTTGATAAATTTGGAAATCATACTCAAGAGCAATATGCAGCTGCTTGGAAGGTGGTCTTCATGGTGGTCCGATGTCATTTCAGGAAGGAACCAAGTTACCTCTTTTCTGGTAACTTTCTTAGAGGCAGTTGATCTTCTGAAGGCACCAGTGTGGACTGCGTGCTTTGCTATGCAGCTGTCCAAAAGCATAGGCTTTGTAAAATAAATCTTTTAACAAAATAACTTTGCTTCTCTGACTGAGTTTTTCTTTGCTGTGATAATCAGAAGACACATGTTGGGATCCATGGCTATCAGATACTCCAGGAGAATGTGGAACTACTGTCTCTCTGGTGAGACTTACAGGGTTATTGATGCTTCAATAGATGGGGGAGCATTACAGGCAGCACCTTTTGTCCACTCAGCATATAACACACTTTCTTTGTAGTCCTTGATAGGTCTTTTCTCTGCTTGCCAAAGCCACCAAGCTCACAAACTGAACTTGTGCAGATCGCATGTACCTGAGGAAAACAGCTTTGTCTAGGGAAGAGAGGTTAAAAAAATCATTTCACACCTTCTTCCCTTGCCCTCAGCAATATTCACACTAGGAATTGGTGTCGTCATGACTGGGACACAGATGTACAAGAAAAGGATATGACAAAGGCATAGGCTATATGCAAAGGTGCCCTGCAGTGTTGGATCTGCTGAGTAGTTACTGCTTGATCAAAACAAACCTTGATTATTGGTATATCTGCCTTGAGAGATGTCACCCTTATCCAAGGTGGTGAATAACTACATCTATCTAAGGAAACATGGTTCTGCAGGACTTGTATTGTGATAGGATTTCAGATGCCCTGCCCAGGAGGGAAGAACTACAAGAAAAAACTCAGGAGAGGCAGAGCTATAAGGCAGGGTCTGGCATATTCTGCCTCCTGTTGAGGTCCAGAGGCAGCATCCCTGGCTGTGGCACAGAAGGAAGAATCAACAGGACCAGAACACAAGCAGCAGCAACAGCACTGTCAGCAGATGCAGCCAACAGCTAAAAAAGAGAGGTTCTTGCTGAACAAGTTGTGTCTGTTGGCACCATAAACTACATGCCATGAAGGTGCTATGATCTAGGCTATGAAACCTGGTTGATGGTGCAGTCCCACTGGGGAGGAACCTGCATCGCCTATATTAAATGCATCACTGTAAAAGTAGCTTGCTTAGAGATTAATGCAGAGTGAGATGTGATAGCTGAGGAATCTGTTGTGCATGCAAGCCTCAGTGATTATTGGCCAGAAGTGGGAATTCTTGGTGGAGGGCTTACATGGCGAGTCTTCTCTATATGAATTTTAGAAAATACACTTTTTATTACTTATTGGTTTGTGTGCGTATTTGCGGCATGATAATGGTTGACCCTGAAGCACGCTCATGCAATGCACCACGCACAGTTAATTAAATTCCAAAACTCATTTGAGTCATGTTACAGTCATTTCAAAATAGCATACCTGTGTTTTGGGAAGCTTCTAACAACTTAATTTGAGAGAGCTGTCAGTTCCAAGTAATCACATCTGTAAAGAATGTGTATCCAGAAGGAACAAATCTCACCAGCACAGCCAGGTGAGGTGCTTGTTTGAAGAGTTTCCTTCCGTCATTTCCTCGCTCTGGCATTGAGTCAGTCTGTAACAGGGGTGGGAGTAAAATGACAAAGTATCTTATTTAAATCTTCTATGTTACAACCCC